GGGGGTGAGCAAGATTTTCACCCCATCGCATGTATGATTCTAACTACTCGAATATTCTGTTTCAAGAATGATATAATATACGATTCGAATATTCATTCGTTCGAAAATTTATATTACAGATCGTTATTTGTCCATTCGGAAAAATTTCAGATGTTCCAATTATAAACAACTGCAGTACACGAATAAATCTGTTATGACTATTATTACCTCATCACCGCTACATAGCTCACTGAAGGTGCCTTCATAACCATCATTTCGATAACGTGCTGGCAGGCGTCTTGGCCGTTGACACTATATTTTCACGCATTGAAAGAAAAGATGGAAGTTTGATTGAGAAAACCCACTCTCTGTTGACGAGGAGTGTCAGCATCGGACGTGACCGGATGTTTAGTAACTGAATTACGTTCAGTGTAACCGGCACATAACACATCGTCACTAGTACCTTGATCATTTGCGAAGTGATGAGATAGGGAACTCATCATCTGAGGGTTTTGTAAGTCTGCATAGCTTGGGCAAACTAGTAAAGGTTGTTCAACAGCAGAGCTGCGCATAGTCGTTTGCTGTGCAGAAGGTGCCAAATACCAATATGAAAGCGCTGGATTGGTTGGCGCGGCTTGCACTGCGCGTTTCACAGATGAGCCAATGGCTGCCTCACCATCTAAGCTTCGGGGTCTTTTCAGACCAGTGTTTCCTTTAAAGCCAAGGCATGTAAATTGAGAACTGTCAATATTCGGAAGACTCTGGAATGCATCTTTTCTGCAAACAAAATTGGAGAGAGAATTTTCAGTCCCGCAAAAGAGGCAAGAAACAACGGTACCTGAGGAAAAGTAGTAGGTGATGTAGGTATACTTTGCCGCGAGTCTTCGTAAACAAACCTGTCGTCGGAAACGCAAAAGCACTCACGTTCCTAATGTAAGTACTAATTAAACAAACTTTTGACGTGAGAATGAATTTCATACGGACTTAGCCTGAGTTTAAAGGTCATCGTATGAAAGTTCACATCGTTATGAAGATGTTATTATACTCATCCAACATACACAATTATGTTGTCATTCTACATCATTTGCTAATAATGTTTTTAAGCATATTGAATTGGAGGGAAGTATACTACCAGTGCTTTGACAGCCTAGGCATCTTTTGTTGCTTGTAGCTTTAGAGAAACAAAATGAAAATAAAATTCCACCTTGTAAGAATATTGAAGACTTCCAGATTATGTAGCACATTATTCGAAAAGTTTCTAGAAAAGAGACTCTCATCAGATGTGTCCAAAAATTGAGCTATGATTAAAGAACTCAGGGAATATTAACACTCCAACAGACCGATATATCAAAGCAGGTGGAAACACGGTTAGCGCCAGTCGACTTAATACCAATTCTAACTTGTTTAGGAGGCACTGAAAAGGTAAGATGGTGATGAGTGAAGCATGTGAATTGCGTCTACTTTAGAAATTCATCACAACTTATCACGCATTTTGATAGCTTTACTGAAATTAGGTGTGCTAGCTAAAACTTTTCAGGTTATACCTATTCAACGTTGGAGAGCAGCGTAGCATTTTGCATGTGAGGAAGAAGTGAGAACATGGTAGCTATCACAATGGACAAGCTACTTATTAGTGACTGCAA